TGAGAGCTGAGATGATAGGAACCCAAAGGGAAATTCAGACTTCCCTTAAAAAACCTACATCAGAAGTTTTATGTAGGTGAATAACAGACAGGGGAGACATACAGACAGACCAGGGTGAAGGCAGGTCTAAGGGACAAAGAGAGCCTTCAGAGATATCCCCTGAACAAAGGGACTGTCTGACTTCCAAAGCTTTTCAGACAGGGAATGGGAAATTCCATTTGTGAACACAGTTCCAAGGAAGCAGATGCTGGCAGTGATCACAGAGTCATCTGGCAGCTATGAGGGTGAGGGGCTGGCCTTGCTTCCATCGTCTATGGGATCTATGTGCTTTCACAGCAGGGACCTGTCTGCTGCAGGGGCATAGCTTGGTTTCTGGGAGCAAGGCAAGGACAGTGCCTGAGATCTAGTGGAGCTTGGCAGCAAGCAGCTGTCAATCAGGAGGCAGGAGACTGGCACTTCATGTCCTTACAGATGTCACAAAGGAAACACAGAGCAGATATGGAAAGAAAGTGGGGCTCAGTGAGAGACCTTACACCACCTCAGAGGTCCATTTCTTCAGATAAGCCCCACCAGCCAAACACTGCGCAGTCTCTCCAAATGCATCAGCTTGGGACAAAGTGTACAAATGCATACACCTAGGGGGATGTTTCTCACGAAAGTCATAACTGTGTTCTGTAGCCACTTAGTCATTTTTAAAAATCTTCTTTTCGCTTGTCACCCACCCATTTCCACCTGCAGCAGATGAGAGACCTGTCCCTGTGAGTGGGAGAGTCAGCTCTGGTTCTCACAGGGTGTAGCACACAAGAGTGTGAGCTCTGCGCCCCATCTGGGAAGCACACAGGAGCAGACTCCATTGTGCAGGGACTCAGATGAGTATTCCCAAAGGGCGTGAGGGAGGGAGTATTCCCCACCCTCATGTGCCATACGTGGCATGGTTTGGTAAGGACACCCTCCCCCACCCTTTGCCATCTGCAGGAGAGAAACCTGGCCCTGGGGTCACTAGTGTGAGAGGACTAGCCGTAGCCATCACCAGCTCAGCACGAGAGAACCGAGTCTCTATACCCTTCCTGGGAAGTACTCTAGAGTTGACCATGTTGTCTTGGATACAGGTGAGCCAGTCCTGGGGCTGTGAGAGCAGGTGAGCTGATCCCCTTCCCTTCCCCCAAAGGTCCCCTAAACAATTGGGAGGGAGGGGCCTGTACAAAATAGTAGACCTATTCCTGGTGGTGGGCATGTGGGTGATCTGGAGATGAGTACCTGAGAGCAGGACAACTGGCCCCACCCCTGAATTCAGGTTGTATTTGTTGAGCAAAGGAAGGCAGGGCTGGAGAGCTTGCCCCATGGTGAGATGGGAGAAAACTGGCACCTCCCATCCAGGCCGGGACCAGGGCTGTGAGTTATCGCACCCCACCGACCACCTCAACTTTCAACTGTGGTCGCATGGGAAGGGGATGAGCCTAGAGCTCCAAAACAGCAGGATCTCCATGCACAGGACGAAGGCGGGATGTTAAAGAGCATCCCCAGTGAGACCCCCAAGAGTGGTGCACCAGAGGCCAGATTGTGTACCGAAGAATTTGGACTCTCATCAGTTGACCTAAATAAACCCAAGCCTGATGTTCTGACCCACAAAATTAGAACAAGTCAGACCTACAATTGCCAATCCTCCTTCTCCTCCTCCTTTTGACACAGAGTTTCTCTATGTGTCTCCAGCTGTCTCTAGCACTCACTGTGTACACAAGACTGGACTCCCACTCACAGAGACCCACCAGAAACTATCTTCAAGTTCTGAGATTAAAAGCTTCAGTCAACTACATTCAGAGGCAATTCTTTGAGGTAAATCTCTCCATCTATCTCACTGATTATCTGACTTTCTGTGTCACACTCTGTAGAGGGCCTGGTATGTATGAATGTGCACATTGATTGAGCGTTTCAGATATGAAGAGAAAACAACCCAAGTGTCCCGCGCTACCGTCTCGCCAGCAAGAACGCGGCACACTTAGGATCCTTCTGCAGAACAGCTTTAATGCATCTTGAGAGGGAGAGCATAAGCTTACAGAGTGGAGACCCAGGGAGCGAAAAGCCCAACCCTTATATAGCTCAGCAGTCCCCGCCTCGGACGTGTCATCTCCTGACTGGCTCCTGCTCGTCAGCCCATATGACGCCACGGGAGAGGCAGAGAGTAAGGGATGGAAAAGTAGCAGGCACATGCGCACCAAGGTTGTTTACTCCAACTGACAACAGGTGTCGGCGCCATCTTGTAACGGAGAATGTGGGGGCGGCTCCCCACATCTCCCCCTTTTTGTTTTAATAGCAAACAGGCTCTCCCAGGACATTAGAGGGTAGAGACAGTGGTTGAACATCCCAAAGAACAAAATTAGTGAGACGTGTACGAAACCTATCCCTGGATTCATCAAAATCCGGGATGCTTCTGACCTGTCCTCTGCCTTTTTTTGGGAAAAGGGAAAAAATACAGCAGGTAACCCTTATGCAGGACAACATGTCTCTCAGAGGAAAATGACTCTCTGTGCGATGCCATTGCTCAACACCCCTCTTGGGAGGCCAGACTAAACACTCTACCCTGTGCAATGAACCTAAGTTCCGGGTGTGCAGGAGCTGTTCGGTCGGCAGCCTATTGCTTAAGCATAGTCAACCAGATATCGGTTGACGCCCCTTGCTCGAGTGCAGCCAGTGCTTGTGCTATGACCACCTTATCTCTTTTGTTTTGGGTTCTGAGCTTGCAGACCAGCCAGAGAATAAACACTATTCCCCAGCATAGGACTGCTCCAAACAATCCCACCCCCACCCATTCTTTGAAATATGAAACAGCTGAAGAAATCCATGAAGACAATCCCTCCGTGAAGAACAGGTCAAGGCGGGTAGAATTAATCTGAACAATGGCGACCCTCAATTCGCGAAGCATCTGCTCAAATTCATAGGTCCAATTCATTGCAATTAGTGCCATCAATGTCAAGTTGTTCCTCTTTGTCACGGGAATGTCTCGCCATCCTTTTGCTCCATAACGGTTCTGGTGAGTCGTTCTGGGACCCAAAAGGGATTTTCTTCATTCTGTGGAAAAACACAAACAGCTCCCCTGGATCTTATTAGAATAGGATCCGGGCCTTTCCATTCATTAGTTAGCACATCTTTCCATTTTACAAATTCTTTTGGTCTTTGCGGATCCGAGCAATGCCTTGTTGCTGCATTTTGACCCTTATCATCCAGATTTTTAAAAATTCATAGTAAACAATGCCATGGCAATAGCCACTCTTGGTGTTGGGGGCAACTCCTTCATAATTCCCCCTTTTTGTTTTATTAGGTAAGACTTAAGTGTGCGATGTGCTCGCTCCACGATGCCTTGTCCCTGAGGATTGTAGGGCAGGCCTGTAGTATGTGTGACTTGCATTTGTGCAAGCTTCCAGTTCCTGAAAAGGGTATAAGCCTTCTCCCCTTTTTTGTTTATCTTCTAATGTCCCTCTTGGGGACTGTAAGGGCTCCCCCTTATCCTTAGATTTACCGGGGGGTTATCTTTCTTAGTTACAACCGGTTTCTTTTTACGTGCACCTAACCTCTCACTACGCTCGGTTTCTGACATGCTAGACAGATTGAGAGGAGCCATGATAAAAATAAACACCTGCGGCTCAAATGAAACAAAAGTAACGACCGCGCGCAGCTCTTTTATCTACAAGAGACTAAAGCACACAGTCAGGCACTGCCGCTTATCCTAACAATTGTAACGATGTAACAATTGTAACACAGGCTCCAATCCAAAGTCCCAGAATAACATACCTCTCCCGAGCGTAGTTACCTGCAGTTCTGAATCCTCCTTGAATCCAAGGGGTCTCCGATGGTGCTGACGATGATGAGGTCTCCAGTTCCCGGGTTTCAGCACCAGATGTCCTGCGCTACCGTCTCGCCAGCAAGAACGACGCGGCACACTTAGGATCCTTCTGCAGAACAGCTTTAATGCATCTTGAGAGGGAGAGCATAAGCTTACAGAGTGGAGACCCAGGGAGCGAAAAGCCCAACCCTTATATAGCTCAGCAGTCCCCACCTCGGACGTGTCATCTCCTGACTGGTTCCTGCTCGTCAGCCCATATGACGCCACGGGAGAGGCAGAGAGTAAGGGATGGAAAAGTAGCAGGCACATATGCACCAAGGTTGTTTACTCCAACTGACAACAGGTGTCGGCGCCATCTTGTAACAGAGAATGTGGGGGCGGCTCCCCACACCCAAGTAGTGCCACATGCATGCACTCACAAACAGAAAATAAAAATGTAATAAAAATTGGAAAATTAGCAGAGATTGTCTTGGCTTAGCCATGGGTAAGATCTTGTCACCTCGGTGAAACCAGGGCTTGTGGGAGAGAAAAGCCAGTTGCTGAGGAGTTTTTCAGGTACAGCTTTTTGTTGTCCTTCCCTTGGGGCTCTGAACCCCTATTCTAACCTTCAGACCTCCAAAGGTCTTTTGGTGCACGTCTGTAGAACTCTGACCCTGCCCTGGAGTTTTCAGCTCCCTCAGGGTTCTGTCTGTCTCGGTGCTTTTCCTTTATGGTTCCGACACTTCAGTGCTCCTTCTCTCTTGGTTCACTTGTCCCTCAGCACTCCATCCCTCTCTTGGTGTTGTCTGTCAAGTCCCAAATCGAGTGTTGGCGCCCTTCTATCAGAGCTCAGAATCTCTCGGTGAACTTCCCCCGGAAGCTGGACCTTCTCTTGACTCTCTTGACATGCTTCCTGCTGGGCTCTTCCTCTGTCTTGGACTGCCTTCAGGGCCCTGACCCACTTCCGGAAACCCACACTGAAGTGCTCATTTTCTCAGCCCATCCCTCGGGGCTATGACGCTCTTCAGGCACTCCTCTCTTGAGGTTTGGACTATACCTATGTGCGCGTATTTCAGGGATTCTCCTCTCTTGACAGTCACCCTTAGTTATCAGAGGCTCTCTGGGCATCGTCTCCTCAGAAGATTGGAACCTTGTGGGTAGAACACATAGAGAGTGTCGGAACAGTGCCGGAAGGGCACCAAGGCAGGGTCAGAGCTCTACGGAAGTGACCCAAAAGACCGTTGGCGATTTGAGGTGTTAGGGGAGGGGTTCAGGACCGTTGAAAAGGCCACGAAGAGAGTTGGAAATCTGAAGGAGTGGTGGCAGGAGAGAACAGGCAGGCCCCAAGTTAAAGTTAGAGCACTGAGGTAGGAGCATTAAGAAAGATCGAGAGGGGGGGGTGGCTAAAGAAGGTTATACAAAAGTGGTTGGAACCCAGAGCCAAGGTTGGCAAAGGGGAATCTGCACCCTGAGAGAAAGGTGAGGCAAGTACACTGAATGAGGGGCACAAGAAGAGGACAGAGCCCAGAGAGGGGAGGGGCCCATGGGATGGAGTGGTGGTGAGGAAAGAGGAGCCAATTCCCAGTTGGATCCTTGAGGCAGGAGCTCCAGAAAAAAAAATGTTAAGTACTCACAGGAGATTTACAGTCCTAAGAGAGGGGCATCAAAAGAGTTTTGGAGGCCTGAGGAAGGGCAGTGAGACAGGTTGACAGAGATTTGTAGCTTTTAAGGAAGTGCATCAAGACATGGTTAGAGCCTGAGAGAAAGAGAGACAGAGCCTTGATAGAGTGGTTAGAAGAGAGGATTAGGCCCTTGAAGGAAGTTTATCGACAGTGTTCATCCTTGAAGAAAGGGCTCCAAATAAAGCTCCAAGAGTGGGTCAAAGCCTTGAGATAGGGGTGTCAAGAGATCCTCAGTGTCATGGGGAGTAGGAGCTGTGCCAACAAAGTGTGTGCCTTGAAGTTGGGCACCAACAGAGACAGAGCCTTGAGGGAGGAAATTCAAGAGAGGGTCAGAGCCTCGAGAGAAGATTGCTCAGAGACCCACAGAGCCCCAAGGAGAGGTGCAAAAGATGAAAGACCAGAGTTGGGGCTGAGAAGTTGTCAGAACACACCCGGAAGGGCACCAAGAGAGACAAATAGAGAGACAGAAAGAGAAATGAAGGATACTTAAGGAGAAATGGAGGGAGACTTAAAGGAAATGCACAACGATGTTTGCAAAACCCCCTCAGCCAAAAAAAAAAAAAAAAAAAAGGAAGATGATGTTGGGAGGGGTCTGAACTTCAGGGAAGCTCACAAAGAAGTTTGGAGAAATAAAGAAGGGATAATAAGAGAGGTTTAGAGCCTTGAGAGAGGTACTCAGAGACATTGGCTGCACTGAGGGAGCCTTAAAGTTGGGTTGCAGAAATTTTCAGCGCTCAAGAAAGGGCTTGAAATCCTGAGGAAGGGCTCCAAGGGTGTCAGAGCTTCTTTAAAGGGACACAAAGTGAGATTGGAAGAGACAGGAGGAACCTTGACAGACACCATGAAATGGTTGGAGCCCTGAGACAGATGTTAAGGGAAGCGGAGCCCTGAGGAAATGGTACCATGGGTCAGCACCAAGAAAAGTTCAGTGAGTGAGGCAGAGGTGAGAAGTACAAAGAGGCCATAACATTGAGGGCAGGGGATCTAATGCTGGAGCTCTGAAGTCGGTGCACAAGAAGGGATCTGCAGCCCCAGATGGAGGGAGATGCTGGTTTGGGGGAAGGGGCCTCAGGAAGGGACCAGAACTCTGAGAGAAGGGTGCCAAGAGATGGTCAGAGCCCTGACTGAAGTGGCCCTGAGGATTCTGAGCACTGAGGGATGGGTGCGAAGAGAAGGGAGGAGCCACAGGCGAGTCTCAAACAAGTGTATGCTCAGAAGCTTCATTAGAAGAGCATCTAGGGAAGTGTCCCAAGAGAGAACAGGAATTCTGAGGAGCGATTCTGAGCCTGAGAGGAGAGTTCCAAGAGAGGTTTAGATGACTGAATGTGGATCTCAGATACTTGGAGCTCTGAAGGAAGGATTGACCTGAGCCCCAGGAGAGGTTTGGAGCATTTAGAAATGATGGGAGGTCTGAGGGAAACACCTAAAGTGAGTGGGAGAGCTTTGGATAAGTGTCTAGAGAGAGTGGGAGACATCTTGGATAGGTGCCCTGTGAAGTTCAGACCCTGAAGGAGGATCACAAAGGGAGATGTGGATGAAAGGAGGGGTCAAGAAAGTCTCAGAGCCCTGGTGATGTTAATAGGCTGGGGTGATGCTGAGAACATGGACCTGGATCTGGAGGTTTGCCCCACACATGGTCATGGTTCTCTTCACTTTCAGGTTCACCTGTGCATTGGAGACGATGCTCCCCTTCTTCTGGCTAATTCTCCTGGATCTCCAATGGGTAGACACCAGTGTCAGCAATACCAGTGTGTGGGATATCAGCACCACTGTGTGGGACAACAGCACCAGTGTGTGGGATAACAGCACCAGTGGGTTGGGCATTGCCATCCAACCTAGGGAAGGCAAGTATGGTCTCAAGACTCCCACTCTGTTGTATGGAAGGAGACTCCACCTAGAGCTGACTAGGGTTATAAGAAGGCTTGTTGGGGACTGGGCTCACCAGAACCAGGTGGCAAGCAACTCTACCTACTGAGCCATCTCATTTACCCCTTTGTTGTTTTGAGGCTAGGTTCTTTCTCTAGTTCAAACTCTCAGAGATAGTCCTGCCTCTGTTGCCCATGCCCTAAAGTTATAAGTTACCCAGGACATTGAGCTGCTGCCATTTTTCCTAATTTTTAACAAACGACTGCAGTCAAATTGCTAAGGAAGAACTCAAGGGCATGTACAATCATTCTCATGCACTGGGTGAATTCTGTCTGAAGACATTGGTGTTGCCTGACATTGGTGGTGCACACTTTTAATCCCAGCCAGGATTCAGTATACAGAGTCAGTAGACTTGAGTTCAAAGCTGGCCTGGGTTACAGAGTGAGTTCCAGGACAGCCATGGATACACAGAAAAAGCTTCTACAGAAAATCAAAGACAGAAGGAGCCTGGTGACTACACCAGGCAGCTCTGTTCCATAGCCAGGTATCATGAGGTCACTATGACACTTTTCCTGTTCTAAAAGCCTAAACAAGAGGGGGAGTTATTTACTTTATATTTTGCCTCATAATAACTTTCTTTCATCATGTCTAGACATGGTTTTAGCATGTAAACATGCTTAGAGAGATACTCCTGAGATTCAATATGGGGGAGTAGACTGCAGGCTCCCACAGAGAGCGCTGACCAGGATACCTGAGCTAGCATCTGTCCATAGCACTTCCCGGCAGGGACAGCAGGTGCTGAGCCCAGAGAAACCCTGGAGGATGGTAGTGTCCTGATGGCCACTATTACACAGAGGGATGGACATCTTTGAGGATTTCAGCTGTTTTCCATGTGATCACCCTTTTAGAAAAAGCAGAGATTCCTGATGGGTCCACGATGTCCTGGGACCTGGTCAGGCTCTGCCAGGATCTGAGCTCTGCAGACCTTGGGGTTGTTTGTGTAGAGAACTGCATTGGGAAGCAGCTGTGAGGGGAGGATGCTGGGAGTTCAATGGTGGAAAGGCTTCTAGGGGAGAACTCAACAGGACCTTTCTTTTGCAGGTCTTAAAATGCTTTGCCATTTTTGTACAACAATAAACACATTTCATTGCCCAGAAGTTCATCCTTGTGATAATGATTTTAGACGCTGTGGGACTGTTGCCATTCGTAAGTATCTGTATTCTGGGACAGTGTAGATAAGCTTACCTGCACAAGTTTGTGGGACATGGTCAGTCTGTTCTCACTGCAGTCAGATGCACCAATGTTCTATCATCTCCTAGGACTGAGAGAATGTTCCCAGGCACTGAGTTCAGCACACTGATACAGCACTATTCACCTCCTCATGGCTGGGGCTGATAGTGAGCTGACAGTTGACACAGGCCAATATCCAGGGAAGGAGAATACTGTGGACCCCCATGCCTTTGTCCCTGAGCGTCTCTCAATTCATATGGGCACACACACTGGTTCAGATTTGCTGAATCCTTGCAAGCATGATGGTCTCTGATCTTGTGCATACACATGCTGCATAGGTTACCTTTCTATTGCTCTGCTAAAACAGCCTGACCCAGATCCTTCTAAAATGAGGCATTTGATAGGGCTCATGTCTTCAGGGGTGGGAGTCCACCCTGGGGGAGGAAAGGCATGGTGGCTGGAACACCTGACAGCTCACAGCTGGATCTGCACCCAGGAGACAGAGAGAGCTGACTGTGAAAGGAACTAGGGTTTTGCATTCTCTAAGCCTGCCCCCCACTGACACACCTCCATGTGGACACACCTTCTACTCCTTTCCAAAGGGTTCTACCAACTGGATGCCAGGTACTTGTACATTTGAGCACTTGGAGGTCCTTCTCATTCACACCACCAACCACCCCACCTAGCCAGATTCAAGCACCGAGGTGCCCAGTGACTCGGGGTGATGCCCGCCGATCAGACGCAAAAGCTAGGGCTGGGTCAGGGCACACAGCAGGCAGAAGAAAGTTTCCTAAAGTGAGCAGTGATCTTTTGTGACAGAGGCAGGATTGACTGCAAAGAAGATGCAAAAATCCTCAGTCATGTACATCGAGTTACACCTGATGACAACAACCTCTTGACTCGGGAATGGACAGGGCAATGGACAGTATGTCTAAAATGTAGGCAATCAGGCAGCCCTGGATTTCCCATTTTTAGTGTCCCCTGACACGGTGTCTGTATTGAACAGCACAAAGGCTGCACTCAATAGGGCTCTAGATCGAGGACGGAGGAACTTAGTGAGTGAAGGAGCAGACAACAATGGTCTTAGTGCTCCTGCCTGTGTCTGGGAGGAAGTAATAGTCATAGATGACACATTGCTGCTTTGTCCCAACAGTGGTTTGTTTCCAGAGGCAGGGGAGGAACTGGACTTGGACTGTAGACTTGCTTTGCTAGCATCAACAACAGACAACCTGTTAATACAATTAACAAGTCACCATGAGACCATGACAGAACTGGCCAAAGACACACACTGTCCACGGTTCCCACATGGGTTCATAGAATTAATACAAGTGTGTGATGTTGACCATTGACAATTTTAATGTGTGGTCTTCCCGCCAGCCTCATGGGTTCCTCTGCTTTCTCAGCCTCCAAATAACGCATGAGACACTATATTAATTATGAAGCTTTTGGCCATTTGCTTGGTTTTTATTACCTAGCTCTGACTTGATTATCAATCTGTAACTGCTAATGTGAGTATTTCCATGTGATCTTCTCTTACCGAGAAAGGGTCTGGACCTCTGACTTCTCCTTCATTCTGCGTCATGACGGACTGTGCCTCTGTTTCCCAGAATCCTCATCAACTCCTAGTCCCACCTCTCTTGTTTCCCCATTAGTGAACAGTGCTTTACTCAACAACCAATAAGATAAGCACATACACATTAGAATTTCCCCCATCAGAGAAGGTCCTCATAAATGGAGCTATGTGGATTTACTTTTCCATCACAGTGCAGTTAAACTGCGAATTGTTGTGAGGGAAGGAACTACTTGCTCCTTGACATGAAGGAACCTTTCTAAACAGGTTGGTAGACCACGAGGCCCCCATGGAATGAGGAAATCTTGGGATTTGGATGATTTATGAAGAGAAGACTTATAAAGCTGAGTAGAGACCCTTGACAGGCAAAGTTCAACTATGGATTGACACAGAGTTTATGCAGGTTAGGGGGCTGCTACATTCCTGATCACGATGTCCTTCTGATGTTGGGCAGCAAACAAGTCTCAGGGCTGTGGATGCTAAAGTACTCAGGGTGCCTTCCACAGCAGAGGAAGTGAGTAACATCTGCAGACCACCAGGGGAACTGCTGCAGCGAGGCCTCAAGCCTTCAGCCCAAGGCTTCCAGTAGGGTGGTGCCACTGGGGTTTACTTCACACAACTCTAGTTGATTGAGAGCAGTGGTGATGGTCTTGTTCTCTATGGAACGTTGCTAGGAATACGCCATCTAATCTGCGCTGGAGAACTTGTCATCCAGGGACCCTGTGGTTTCGACATAGATGAAAACTCTTGGATAGTTTAGGTAGAAGGTTGGGAAGGACTTCATCCTTCATTGGTGAATATGGATGCTCATCGGTGCCCTTGATCATCTCTGGAGTCACAAAAGCATAGCTTCTGGTCACTGTTTCATTGTAGACCTTGGTACAAACAGTTGGGATAATATTAGAACAAGCACAGGAGAAGGTATTGCATTAGCATAGCTGTGTGTCCTGAGACTAAATTGTCAACTGGGCAGGGAGAGTAACTGACATAAAGATGGTAGCAATGCATAGTAAATCCAGTAAGTGGAGGATTTGGTACTGGTGCAGTAATGTTCTCTTGGGTTTTTGCATCTTTTCTATGAAGCATTCTTTATGATGTCTTTTTGTAGAATATTTTTGTACAGTGTAAGATAATGTCACTCTTTCTGGTCCAACACTTCAGAACAGTCAATACCTAGGCAGGATTTTCAGGGCAGAGGGGGTGCAGAGAAGAAGGGTGGAGTGACCAGCTAGATGAGGAGTGAGCATGGGGTGTAGGAGTTGAGTTTACAAGCCATCGCTCATGTGACTAGTTGTGGTTAACTCTGGTGCTGGGTTTACAATGAAGATGATGGTGATAATTCTCCAGATGGCTTCCTTTCTAGGTATGAATTCTCGGGAGCTCTTAGTCTACAAAAACTACATGCAGACCTGCCCGTTTGTGCTGGTTCAGCCTCCCCCAACTGTTTTAACAAGACGGCTTCCAATCTCCAGTAGCTTCTACTATTCCAATTGCTGCTCAGGCATCACTTGCAATGATGCAGGACCCACTAATGTAGAGAGGGATTTGTTACCTCCTCTTGTGGTTGAAGAAACTGTGATTGCCAGAGCTGTGTGTCTGGGGGTGTCCAACGTTTTCCTGAATCTTTCCTTAATCCTCTCCATCAGCTTACTGACCTGAGAAACCCTCTATGCGGTGTAACTGTCTTCCCATAGTTGTAAGGAAATTTGCTCTTTGATGCCTCCTTGTGAAGCAGAGACAGTGTTCCGGGCATCTGTTGGGCCTGTTCATAACTTGTTGTAAAATAAATAAAGGTGTTGAAAATTTCCCTTCCTGTTGTTTTCTTGCTGTGTGGAAACAGTTAGCTTGGGCTCTCTACTCAGACCAGCTCCCTCCTCATCTAGATCCCTAAGAGTTCCTTTGTGGGATCATGGTTTCAGCTGCTTGGCTCACTTTAAACACTGACGGCTAAATATTCTTCTCACTTGGAGTTATGATTAAGCTCAAGTGGGGCCTTGCTTGGGGGACCTCGGCAGATTTCACGGGCAAGGTGACCGAGGCAGAGGTTCATACATGCTGTGCAGACAGAGCTTAAGTGAGAAGTTTTGTTAGAAAGTGTAGGGAAGGAAAGAGAAAGAGGTAAAGAGAATCAGACAGAGAAAAGAGAAGGAGAGTGGGAGAGGAGAGAAGAGGGAGATAGGCGAAGTCCTGTCTGCCCCAGGCAAACAGTGGAAAGAGAGAGAGAATGAGATCGGTAAAGAGAGTGTGGAAAGAGATCAGGAAACAGAGATCAGAGAGGGCGCATAAGTGGGCAGATAACTTTCTTTAAAAAGTGTCCTTAGCATCTGGGCTGACTAGGGTACTGCCTGAGTGGATTCTGCCTGATAATAGGGACAGGAAAACATAATCTTGAGTAATTTAGTCCCACCTTAATTTATTATCACAAAGCTGAAGAGTTATGTATGGATGGTTAGGGAATAAGGGTGTCAAGTTCTCAAGGCTTCTTCCTGCTGGGTTACTGGGGTGCTGCCACATCCTGGGGTAGCTCGATGTTTCATCACTGTCCAGGATCAATGGAATTCCCTGGCATCTCTGAGACCTGGCAAGATGTTGGTACAGGAGAGGACAAGGTTAAGTTTAGGCAAAAAATAATTTCTTAGGTCCTGGCAGTTGAGAGGAGGAGGATCATAAAATGAGGAGAGGTTCCTGAAGAGTCCCAAATGAGGGAAGGAATTCCCAGGACCAGAGAAAAGTTGAATAGAATTCATCAATAGAATCTGACCTGTTTGGAAGGGTGCAATTCATTTCCCTGGAACTTACAAGAATCCTTTGAGTTTTTGAAAACATAAGTTTTAGACACATTAACATTTCCATTGTTTATGTATTGAATTATGCATTGTAGAAATGGCAGTGCACTCATGTCAGAATTTGGAAAACGTATATATTTTTGCTCAATGAAATGCTTGAAGTCATGCTATATTGATATATTTTTGTCTCTTATAATCTGTCAGAGTTGGATTAGTAGCTTATTAAAACTTATTTGATTAATGGTAAGACTGTGAACAGTAGCATAATGAAATAAAGAAATCTGAGTCTTGCCTTTGTATACCTTAAGTTACTTTTTTATACCTTAAAACATTTTTGGATCCTTATATCTTAAACTTTTACGGTCTATGAGCTTTATACCTCAAAACACCTTTTTAAATTAAGGAATTGCAAAAGGTTTTACTGAAACGACCAGTCATCAACCTGCATCAGAGTTCTTGAAAAGGATAAGATTTTACCTGAGTTAATGATTACAGAATGACAGAGACTAACTAGCTGGCCACATGGACAGCCACTCTCAAAATCCTCCATAGTTGATGAGGGCAGAGGCTTCAAGGACACCCCCCTCAGTTTTCAGACCAGAGCCTGCAGATTAGGAGCTTTAGAAAGATTTGCCCACCGTCGGCCTTAGCCACGGGGAAAAAGTTGATTTCACTGTCCTCTTGTCCATGATCCAAAGAGTCTTTTGCAGGACTTGAGGTGAAAGGCAGGTTTGCTCATTGGCTAGCTTTACCACTTTTGTGGGTAGAATTTCTTCCATGTCCGCAAGTCTTCTTGGAGGAAATGACGTGGTACCAGCAGCTTGTCTGTCTCGCTGTTATGAAAAGTTTTTCAAAGAAATATTTTTAAATGTCATTCCTCTAGATCTCTGAGCATTTGAGGTTTTCTATCTAGTGTATCTCAGCAGACAACATTTGTCCTTAGCAACTTGGCTTAAGCACATAGGTGGCTAGGTAAGACTTTATCACTTTAATTAATTAACCTGTACTTAGTATGGGTACAATGACATTAGTGTAGGATCTGTCTGAAGAACTGGATCCATGCTGAGCGGCTCTCGAGGGATGTTTCCTCAGAGTCCTCCACCCTGGCTGTATCTGGTTTTAAGTCAGTTGGCTAGATACATGCTTGTAAAGGTCAAAAACGTAGAGAAAAATTCCCTGTTGTAATAGAAGCTTAACAACAGCTTGCAGGAAGGACTAGGTGGTGTAAATATTTTGCCACTTTGAAATAGATCTTAATAACCTTAAATTTTATCATCAATTAAAGAATGATTTAGAAATATTTGAGACTTAACGCAGCTGAATTTGAGTTGCATATGTAGTTAGCTAGCATTCACATATATAGTTAAATTTAAATCACATGTACAGAGACACACAGATATGTCAAAAAGGGCTGGATGAAAGTAAGAAGAAGGGAGAACCATAGTGTCATCCCTGATTTGCATGTTGTAGCAAACAGACAGGGCTTTCAAAGAGATAATAGAGTTAAAACTTCCAGTGACAGGAAAGCAGATCCACTGCAGATGGAACAGGCCAGGTTTTTGCCCTGGAAAGGCATACCATTATGCAAACAAGCCATGCAAAATGGAGCCAGTAAAAGAAGAAATAAGAAACAGAACCATAAAAGGCAAAAAGTAAATGAATTATGTCTGGCAGTAGGTCTTCTTGGCAGAAGCAGGCTAGATGTCCCTCTGCCTAGGTGGCTGGTACAGCTAAGGGGGGGAGCCGCTTGGGATGAGGCTAGGCCACATGGTCACTCTTAGTCAAGATGGAGGCTGCCATAAACAGGTTGCTGTCTGTATGTTGGCAGAAGTTAGAAAGGTCCTGTTAACTTTTGAGATACAATTTTGAAGGCTTGTTTCCCATGAGTGAGGCAGAAAGATATTTTGAAGCCCATAGGATACTGGATTACAAGGGGCACAAATCCAAAAACGGCCCCATAGGTCTGAAGAACAAATCTGTATGAATGATGCTAGGGTACAAAACCTGAAACCCTCGTTCCTGTGGGGGAAAAGTAGAAAACTCTAAGAGCATGGTAGTGCAGTTGGCTGGAAAAGAGAAACCTGTTATCTCAGGCTGAATCAGATGAACAGGAGAGGGAGACATTTTGAACAGGAGCATAAAATGTCTAGCAAAACAGGGCATTCTCAGGCAGAAGGAAGATCATGTCTGGAGACAAGCTGGGCCATGGTGGGAGGTGGCAGGAGGCAGCTGTGTCAGGCAGGAGAGAGTCTTAGCATGCCAGAACAGGAGGGAAACAGACAAGTGAAAAGGAGCAGAGGTCACACTTTCAACTATGGATCACTGTAGAATGTAGGGCACCAATAAGCAGGCACATGGATTGACATGGGGGTTCAGCTTCCATGAGTGAGGTAGAGAAGATCAAAAGCCTTTAATCTCCAGCGTCCCAGAGACCAAGAGAGCATCAGATAGGAGAGACACAGGTTGATTTGGGGGTTCATCGAGCACAAATCAGGGGCCAGGGCTCCCAGGAACAGAGAGGCCTGTTTTCATTCAGTACTGGGGTTTTCACCAGGCAAAAAGGTGAGACACCACAGCCTGAATACAAGTCCTAACTCATGGAAGCATGGGCAGAGAGAGGTAGACAGGAAGAAATGGGCTTGCTAGATATGGGTGGGGTAGATGGAAGAATCCAGAGGTCAGTATTTAGAACAATGACCAAGTTGAAGGTTACAGAGTCCCAGCATATATCAGACTGCCATGGTCAGGAGGGAATGCCAGGAAAACCTACCAAGTCATGTGCACCAATATTATGTAGATTTAGGGGAAACTTGGCAGATTCCATTGTGGGAAGATTTCCTTGTGGGGCTAGATTTGGAGTCAGTAGACTTGCCAGGAGCAGTGAAACCTTACACGCTGAGAATTGGATTTTATGAGTGGCGCTATACATGTCATAACATGGAGTAGGGCTCCATGATTGTTATCTGCTGCTTTAGTTACAATGTCTGGATGCGTGAAGAAGAAGGAACACACAATGGGATTATGTAGACTAGGGGAATGAGCCTCGGTGGCTCATGTAAAATAATAGAAACTGGGTAAATTAAGTTATAAGAGCTAGCTAAACATGAGCCTAGCCTACTAGTCAAGCTTTTGTAAGTCTCAGTATAGTTATTACATAGATGGCTTCTAAGACAAGGAAAAACACAGAACAACTCTGTATCATTTGCATGGAAAGTTAGGTCATTGGCATGTAAAATTCGTGTTGAATGTGAGTAGTGATTGCACTCATTGTGCTGTAGACTTTTAGTGGTGTTGTGTTGTCAATGGTATTGTGTGTTTTAGTAATTAGAGCTTTGTGTTCTTGCTACAATCTCTTGGTCATGCTCCCTTCTCTCTTCAGCATCCAACGTTGCTTCCCATGTTTTCCTTAGGATTGATCTTGTATATAACATTTCAGACTGTTTATAGCATGGAAAATTTTCCTCTCTACTTCATTTATGGCAGGTAGTGCTGAGTACATTAATATAGGTTACCAGTCATGGTCTTTTAGGACTTGGAATGCATTGCTCCAGCCTATTCTGACTCTCAAATTCCATGAGAAATGAGCTGTCTTTGGAAGGATTTCCTTTATATGCAACTTGTGCTTTCAGCTTCCAATACTCCTATGTTCTGTACACTTAGTGTTTGAACTCTGATACAGTTTTTTTCAGGTCTTGTCTAGCTGTATTCTTTTTGCTTCTTGTTATGTGTACGTGTGTCTCCTCTGTTTGGGAATTTTTAATTTATTTTTAAGTTTAAATTTAGATTAGAAACCAGGGTGCTTCACAAGTCAGTTCCAGGTCCCTCTCCATTTCCCTCCCCTCCTCCTGTGCCCTCCCCCCAACCCCGGGAATTTTTTTATGATCATGATGACGACCTGCCTATGCCTTTAACATAGGAGTCTTCTCCCTTGTCTAATGCTATAATTTGAAGATTTAGTCATTTCATGGTGTCCCATATTTCCTGATTGTTCCTTTCCCTTTTCTTTCTTTTTTCATAGTCTTTGCCTATTTCATCGAGATCCTCTACTTCAACTTCAAGACCTGCTACTCCATCCTCTGATTCACTGATTTATCTACTTGTAAGGCTGTCTCTTGTGTTTTTTTGGTTGGGTTATTGGGAGTGTTGATTACATGTTCATTTCAGTTGGTGCTGTCTTCAATGTTTCCCTGTATTAAATTTTGCTAACAATTCATGGACTCTCTTTGTTATTTCCATCAGTCTCATGTTTGTATTTTCATGGATTTCACTCAGGTGTTCATTGTCTTTAACTTCATTATCTGTTTCTTTTGATCTCTTTTCAAGCCATTGAATTCTTTAAAGAAGTTTATGAGTTTCCTTTCAAATTCTGTGCCTTATTTTCATCTAGGTAATTCTCATTGGTAACCATTTCCAAAGAACTGATGAACATTACAGTGAAGGTTCTGCATTGATTTCTCATATTTTCTGGGTTTTCCCCCATGAAATTTGGACATAGGGACTTCTTTTGTTATTTCTGTGTCTCATGTGGACAAAAAAATATCGAGTACAACAAAGGATGTGTTGATCTGGTTGGATAAAACTTAGGCAGAATGAGATGAAATAGACTCCGGGAGTGGATTTGGAATTGGTATGTAACAACAATTAACTAGAATTAAAATGTGTAAAAAAATCTTCACACAGACACTCAGGATTTGCATAGGCACACACGCACCCCTATACACAAACCACACACAAACCACACACACACACACACACACACACACACACACACGGCACATGTGGTGGTATTGAGAGGAGGAGAAATTGGAGACTGGTTAGACCATGAGGGCTACTCTCAGCTATGGCCTGACTGTACTTTTAAAAGGGCTGCTGGATATGAGTTCAATCCTTCCTCTCTTCTACCAAGCAGCTACAGGAAATGCTATCTAAAAATGAGCCCTGAGCAAACATAGAGACACTTGGCACTTCGATCTTGGGGATTCTTCCCTACATAGGTGTGAGATATACATAAGTCTCTGTTGTTTCTATCCTCATTCTGCTGCACTTACTAGAGTTTTCCAAGGAGGATGACATTTGCTTTCAAATGAACACATCTTTTTGCTTTAATATTGACAGCAATTTGAGGAGGAGGAGATGTGAATTTCTATCATGCACAACAACAATGTTGTGTCATCAGGATGAAACCAATAGGAGAATGGACCACAGACACACATGTAGGGGTCATGATAGACAGACAGATAGACAGATACATAGAATGACAGACAGACAGATGCATAGATAGACAGATAGATACATAGATAAATGGGTAGATGCATGACAGATAGACACATGCTAATATCCCTTAGAAATAAAGATACTTGTTCAGCCTAATACATTTAAAAATGAGACTAAAATTACACAATGGCACTGTGTGAACTTATAAGATATAAACAAAGGATGGACAAGAACAGCCATTTTTAAAGAGAGAGAGAGAGAGAGAGAGAGAGAGAGAGATCATAGCCTCACACCTTAATTTAATATAACAGGAGGAAAAGGAAGCCCACTAATAGACGCTGCAATTGGGGGATCCTGGTCTGTGTCAGATGCACCTTGCACCTAACCCTTTGTCTTTCTAGCTCATTGCTGGAATCCAGCCTTTGTGAAGACTGTCACACACTGAGAGTGACATTCTAGATAAACTCAGTACTGCATATAACATGTAAAACACTGCGCCAAACGTTACTGTTATGCTAAAGTACATGCTGTAATAAGTTTCGGCTACAGGAGACATGCAACTGTGAAAACCATGAGAAACATAGTCACAGGATTGTGGAGAGAAAGCCAGGTAAATGGGAAGCAAGAGAAGCTGCAATGACTGTGGCTGGAGTTCCTTATGGGACAGGCTGATGAGAAATCCGCAGTAGCGCTTCTTGTGCGAGGAGGAAGGTGCGGTGTCCCTCGAACCCGTCACACCTGTAGTGTGTGCGTGCTTATTCATTCATGGAACGAATCTGAACACTGACTCTGGTCCCAATCTGGCCCGGGAAACATAGGAAAGTCTGAATGGGACTCGCTGGTGTCCAGCTCCCAGGAGAGAAGGGTCCTATGGAGAGAAGAATAATTGCAGTGTGGTCAGGCAGAGGGCGCTGTTTGCAGAGTTTGGATCCGACCCTGAGTCGCCCCCTCTGGATGGCCCTCAATGAGACTGGGATTCGTGGAGCTGGAATGTTCCAGAAGGAACACTAGTGGCACCCTGTAGGGGGCAGTGTGAGGAAAGCGACCCCAAATCAGCAGATTCTCAGACCTCGTGCTCAGTTGCCAGGACTCATGGACCCGCTGAGGCAAGGACTGCTGAGGAAGTGAGTGTTGGTGGGGGTGTAGGCAAATTCACCGCCCCTCCCTCTGGTCAGCAAGTGGCCCAGAGCACACACTATGTGGGACAAAAGTGTAGAAAGGTTCTGAGGTGTGAGTGCCTGCAGGGTGGGGGTGGGGTGTGGCCGCGGAGGGGGCGTGGGTTCAGACCAAGAGAAGAGAGGGCTCTGTGCCACTCAGACCTGGGACGCCAGTGAGAAGAACAGAGCAGAGCGAGCCACTCCTGTCCTCCACAGGTCCAGGCACCCTCTGGAGATGGTCGCCCTGCTGGCCTTGCTCATAGCCATGGCCTTACCATTGGCTCAGACCAAGGACAGGATCAGGAGAGCAGGTGAGTGCCGCAGCCCTGCGCCCTCTAGGGACAAGAGGATGAAGGTTAGTGCCTTCAGAGAGTCCATTAGGTAGTGTACACTGAAGTCCAGGGCTGTGAGGCCCGCGACCAATGTGGGCTGGCGTGGGGGCTTTGGGGCACGGGCCAGAGTTGGGGTACTGGGGATGGAAGGGTAGGGGCGTGGGAGCATTGGGAATGGGGGGTGTGCTTCTGGATTGGAGCTTCCCCTAGGGCAAGCTTGGGTTACCCATCCACCAGGGCTCCTGGTCAGTCTCTCCAGTCACTCTTCCTTCTGGTTAGGAAGGCATAGAAAAATCGAAACACCCTGACCTGTGAGCTTCAGCACTGCCGGAAGATGGGAATTTGTGGGTGTCTCCATTGTCTTCCCCAAACTGGAGCTGCCCTAATCCTGACCCAGGAGAGGTTATCTACTGTGGGGACCAGAAACAAAGAGTGTGGGTCAGGACAAAAGGCAGCTGTGAAACCTTGGGGTTCAAAGTAAAGGGACAAAAGTGGCAAGGAAATGGATGCCCATGGGAATTTCTGGACACTACAGTGTCTGATTGGGAATGTGGGTTCATGCACTGTGCCCAGAGGAGAAGGACCTAATGCAATCCTCATTGGACAGGCAAGGGAGCCTCCAGACAGAGGCTCAGAACTTAGGTGTCATGCACAGAATGTGGGCTCGGGAGAGTTGGGCACTCCCTTGACTTTGCAGACGACACTTGGATGACAGGTTTGGTGCTGCAGGGGAACAACAGTCCCATTTCTCTCCTTTCCAATCCCTAATTTCAGAGAGAATGAGGTGTCACGTCTGTGAGGCAGAGAACAGCTTTAACTGCACGAACCCTGTGGACTGTCCTCATGACAAACAGTTCTGTGTGGTGGCTGCCGTTCGTAAGTCTTGCTTCCTTCTGCTTCCTTCCAAGGATGCTATTGGCAGGGCAACACATGCTGACAGGAATAGGAGCTGTCAATCAAAGGGACTTTACAAACACAGAAACAAAACAAAGCAACAGTAACAAAAATAACACTAACAAGAATCAAACCTAGAGAACAAAAACTGTGAGGAGGAAGCGCCATGGGATGCAGGGGTAGACGTCAGTGCTGAGAAGCACAAGCCAGGCAGGAAAGCATGCGACAGCAGCAGTCGGCAGCGGGGTTAGCGTGCTGGGGGATGATGGGAGTTCTCTTCATTTGCTTCAAGATGAAACTCTAATACAAGGGGGCAGTTCCAGCTTACTGTATGCTCCTGGAAAAGTGGCCATTCTTTGGTGTTTGCAGGCTGACTAATTTCCCCATGATTCACTACAGAAATTCTACATACAAGACAGGCTTCCCAAAATGGATCAATGGGACCCAAACCGTCCTACCTACCGTGAGGATTTTCATCACCTGAGCATTCAAATTCAGTCCTACACGCATTAACACACACGCATCCCTGTGTAGAGTCTCTCCATGTTTGGGGAAGTTTATAGGATGTTGGAGCAGCTGACAGAAATTGGCTCAGCTAAAGGAGGTTTATTGCTTAATATGAAAAGAAAACCTATTTGTGCAATGCAAGATGATGTTCAAAGGCTAGCGTCTCAGCTGGATCTAAGTCAGAATGGTCACAGTTTCTTCCAATATGTGCGTGTCCCTTTCAGTCACTTGAGTCAGTTCTGTGTTTTAAAAGTTGAGGATCAAGCATCCTGTGTTTCCAAATGCAGGCACAAATCCCCATAGCGTGTGGAGGACCACACATCTCCCCTAGGGCAATTCAGCCTTCTTCCCCTGAGTAGTGGCTCCTATCCTCTGACCGATGCTCTCATTGAGTAAGACTGTCTGACAGGGTCTCAAGGGGTGCAGATAATCCAGAGAGGCTCTGATATCAGGTCCTCGAACTCATAACATGCTTTTCTTTGTCCCCTATTAGGAATATTTGAACGTTTCTACCTTACTTCAAAACAGTGCACCAAAGCCTGTCCAGTCCCTGCACTTTTGCTACAGGGCATGCGGCCTAATGTACCTCCTGAGCCTAAGCCGTTTTTGGTCCAAAACTCCTTGCCCTTCATATACACGCGGTGCTGCAAATGGAGCTTGTGTAATCAGGGTGGGCCGAACATGCCGAAGTTCAAGGAGCAGCCTGGAAAAGCCAGCGAGAGAAGAGAAACTGAGCTCTCCCTCACTGTCTTCATAGTCCTTACTGTCCCTGCTCTCACAGACCTCAGCCTGCTCTAAGGTGCAGAGACCTGGAGCATGCCTTGTGGGACAGGAATTCCTGGTACCCTGCTGGACCCTTCTAATTAAATGTGTTCTCCTTGTTAACCTCTTGTCTTGACTCCTGTGGTCTCTGGGTGGGCTGGTGGGAAGCCAGGCTCCATGGCTGTCAGCCCAGGTGCTCTTCGGCTCCCGTAAGAGCCTGTGGCAGGTCTTGCCACACTTTTCCTGGCCAGCGCCTCTGAGGTTGAGCCTTGCCCCTCCCTTTTATGTTCCAGTACCTGAGAACCTCTGAGGTGGTGCAGAGGGAGCCCATTTTCCTCCACACACAGCACACAGAGACCAGGATCAACAGGGAAGATAAAGATTCTAGCGGTAATCTTCCTGAATGCAAAATCCTCTAGACCTTCTAGCCCAGTATCTGACACGTTGCTTCCCTTTGTAAATGTCCATCTTGGATTTCTCTGGCATCAGAAGCTTGGGCCAGATAGGTGGCTGCAGGTACATGTTGTCCATGTTTCTAGTGACTGCAGCCATTGCCATGAGCTGACCTCTAGCCGATAAGGACCTTCTGCCACGGAATGTCCCTAATGTCATTGCAGGGTGTGCCCATACACCACATCTCCTTTCTGGTCTTAGGCAGCTGGCGTAGGAAGGCCTGGAGACCCTCCAGGAAAATCTGTGTACTCTGTCTGAGGCCCTCTCATAGGAATCAAAGTCTATTGTGAACAGGGATCATGGCTGGAATTTACCTCTAATATCATCTCTCCATCACAGGCTATGAGGTCACACCCCACCGCTGACCCATGGGGTAACGACAGCCAGACTATTCCTACAGTCCTGGGGTGAACCTGAGGTGTATTACTGATTTAGGGCAGACAAAATTTGAGTAACTCTAAGAAACAAGTTGGGATAGGGTGGGGTGTCCTGATAAATCCATTTCCAGAGACTTGAGCTGTGCACCAAGTGTTGAGATCCATGAGCCTGTTGGGTACATTTGTCAGACAATCCATAGTAAGCTGGATCTTTCACCAATCAGCCCATAGCTACCTCAAATTCCAAGGTTTTGCAGTTCACTTTACAATTCCCCATGCCTTATCAGTTGCAACACTGTTCCAAACTGGAAAAGCTCTTCTGGGACCCACGGCCCTCTCTTCACTGTGAGGCCTTATAGAAATAAAACACCAAGCATGCATTTCGCACCTACAAAGGCCCTGAGGAACATTGTGCACTCTGAAAGAGGGAAAGAGGGGCTGTCTCAGTTTCATCTCTGTTGCTGTGATATAAACAGCCCAACAACATCAACTTAGGGGGGCAAGGGTTTGTTTACCTTTACTATTTCATGTGACAGCCTATCATGAGGGGACACAAGTCAGGAAGTTCAGATGACCAGGCACATCATATCTGCCATCAAGAGCAGAATCATGTCCTCAGTGTTCACATGCTTTCTCTCAACTCCATTTCTTCACTGTAGACACGTTCAACTCCCTGACTAGGGGTTGGTACGGCCCGCAGTGGCCTAAGTCTTCCCTTATCAATGGACTTAATCAAGGTATATGCAGGGGCAGACAGGTCCACAGGACCCTCAAAGGTAGACAATCCCTCACTGAGACCCTCTTCTCAGATAATCCTAGGCAATGTCATTTGAAGCTAACCATCACAGGGACACAGTAAATGAGAGCCAGACCAAAGCAACGCAGGAAATCAGAGGGGCAAGCATCCGATGCTAACCTTATATTTGTGCTTAGCAACTTGAGCCTAAGATGGCATCATCAAGGCTCAGTGGCCTTGGCAAGCCATACCTCTCTAGGGCTGCTGATTGCAGGATGATGTCTCTGTCAATCAAGTTCTACTCATCACCTGTACTTCTCCTTGGCAGACCTACATTTCCAGCATCTCCACTATCCTGAGATTTCCATTGCTGCTTAGGATTTCCCCTCACTGCTTCCTGCACAGCCCAACAGTTACAGGTTGCCCAGACTCAGCAGCTTTCTGGAAACTCAGCACAAGCCTATTCCATGTCCAAAATCATCATGATGTTGATGATGCCAGAGTTCTGCTGCCAGCTTGAGGTATAGCCAAGGGCACCTAGTACCACAGACACAGTGATCCGCAGTGGTATCTGAATACCTCCATGTATGAAACTGGAAAAGGTTTCCCTAGAATAGAAGTTGTCCTAATAAGCTGCATTCTGCCCTGAGTCTAAAGCAAGACTGGATGTTTAAGCTCCCCAAGGTTGGGTCTTAGTTTCTAGTTGCTGTTCCTGTCTTTCAGGGAGAAGGGAAAGTTTCCTTATTTGTCAATTTCTCTAATGTCATACCACTGACCTTGTCTCCTCTCTGTACAACATCACCTCCATTCAAAACCTTTTCTTCACTATACTGCAAGTGTCCAAAACTTTCTTCTTTCTTGCTGCATATATATATATATATATATATATATATATATATATATACTCAACAGTGAGCAACTAGCCCATAACCAATGCTCTGTTCTCTTGAAATTTTATCAGCAGAAAAGTTAGTCTATTGCATTTGATTTGACTGAACGCAAATTTCTAAGTCATGGTTAGAAAGTAGTCAGATTCTTCCTAGATGATCACTAAACTGACCCCTGGGCCAGGTTTCTCACCTGGAGATAGCAAGGGATGAAGGAGAGAGGGCATTTTCCCTCGCCCACACCACCGAATGGCCGATGAGGGAGGGGTGTGGTTAGGTCTCCTGTTCTCATGCACTTAGGGGCTCCTCGCCTGAGTCGTGGACAATGGAGTCTGCCCAGGTTTTCTGCTCAGACAGGGTGCAGAGCCCACACACTTGTGTCCTACACCCAGGGAGAACCAGAGATGACTCTCCCACTCACAGGGCCAGGTCTCTCCCTGCTGCAGGTGGTAACGGGTAGGGGTGGTCAAGAGGAATATTAAGCTACACCAAGGATACAGGAAGCATGTCACATGATGCTTTATTAGTCACTACACAAGAAGTCCCCAGTCCACTGGTCTCCCAGACTTGACCCGAACCCCAATAGAGCCTACATCTCCTTTTCCCCAGCTCTTATCTCCTGTCACTACTATGCACCAGTGACCACGCCCAAGCTGCGTGGCCAGCGGTACAGGTATGTAAGATCTCTCCCTACAATTTTCTTTTAGTCTATAGAAAAGATTTAGACTTAAACAAAACTAAATTTTGTCAATATACAAAATGTCTCAAATATATGTAAAGCATATATACATAGAAGATGATAAGGATATTTATGCATCAAACTTCATGAATATTAAGAAGACTTTACACAGTGTGATGGTACGATTCGCAAATTATTAATTACCAGAGGATATAATAATCGACCTACATCCCATCCTAAGCATATCTATCCCATCTAAACTCTAAACTTATCTGAAAAAGATACCCAAGTGTAGACACCTCCTTCCTGTCCCAACCCTAAGCAATTAAAAACTAACCCTTTAATGTCAACAGTGGGGAGAGGGTGTAGTATTCTCAGAATTGTTTCCTACTGAAATGGGATGATGATACCATCATGGCATCCTGTGGGAAGCAAATGTTAGGGTTGTGAAAGTCTACATTGGAGTAACAACAACATTTGTAGCCAGTCTCTGTTTGGCGGGAGATGCTTGACTGAAGCTCTAGATTGATGTTCTTATGTTGATTGAAGTTCTTTTCTGAGGCTTGGGCCAGAGTGTATTATTTTGCATGATGCACCAAGGCTCATTTCCCTAGTCTATATAATTCCATCATTTTCTTCCTACTTCACACATGCAGACATTGTGGTTAAAGCAGAAGAAAACAGGCATGGAGCCCTCCTGTGTGGTATGACATGGATGGCACCACTCAAAAAAAAATCCAGACAGACCCTCACTACTCAGCGTGAAAGTTGACACTGCTGGTTCTTGTGGTTTGGGTGTGATACTAAGCATGGGGGCTCCTCAGTCTGCATGCTCTTGCAGTGCTAACTTGCAAATGTGATTGACCTTTACAGGTGTAGACTTCCTGAGCATGGGTAGCCATAACCCTTTCTGTTAAGGGCTTTGTGAACAAAGACCGAGGAGTTCCTGATGTGGGATTTTCCTCTGCATACTGCACCCTAGACACCATGTGCTTCTAGATTGTGAGTCAAAGAAATTACAATCACATCAGCCGTGTCAGATGAGACCGAACTAAACCCAAGCCTGATGCCCTGGCCAACAAATTTAGAACAAGACAGACATATCATTGCCAATACTCCTCCTCCTCCTCTTCCTCCTCCTCCTCAGCCTCTTCCTCGTCCCCTCCCTTTTTTGACGCAGAATTTCTCAACGTAGTGCCAGCTGTTTTGTTTTGTTTTAAGACAGGGTTTCTCTGTGGCTTTTGAGGCTGTCCTGAAACTAGCTCTTGTAGACCAGGCTGGTTTCGAACTCACAGAGATCCACCCGTCTCCCTCTTGAGTGCAGGGATAATGGGGTGTGCCACCACAGCCCGGCTGCTCCAGCTGCTGATGGCACTCACTGTGCACTCCACAGAGACCCACCAGACATTATGTTTAAGTTCTAACATTAAAAGCTTATGCCAACCACATTCAGACGCATTTTTTTTTCAGGTAAATCTCTCCATCTCTCTCACTGATTATCTGCCTTTCTGTGTCACACTCTGTAGATGGGCTGGTGTGTATGAATATGCTCATTTTCTCTGAATTTCTGATATGAAGAGAACCCACACCCATGTATGGCCGCATACATGCACACACATAAAGAACATACATATGGAGTAAAAAAATTGAAAATTAGCAGTTATTGGCATGGCTTAGCCATGAGTAAGAAATGTCACCTCAGTGAAAGCAGGGCAGCACCACTGAGTGTGGCATCAACACCACTGTGTGACAACAACACCAGTGTGTGTGACATCAGCACCAGTGTGTGTGACATCAGCACCAGTGTGTGTGACAACAGCACCAGTGTGTGTGACATCAGCACCAGTGTGTGTGACAACAGCACCAGTGTGTGTGACAACAGCACCAGTGTGTGTGACATCAGCACCAGTGTGTGTGACATCAGCACCAGTGTGTGTGACAACAGCACCAGTGTGTGTGACATCAGCACCAGTGTGTGTGACATCAGCACC